CACAGATTTCTACCCCCTGCTTAGATCTTCCTCTTTCATCCAACTTATTGAGCCCAGGTGATCAAATATTGAAAACACATCCGTACAAGATGGGTGTTAGGTTTATTCAATGATGATTATAAAATTAATGTATGTATGCTTATGAAACATTTGTGCAAGGGGATGCTCCACTGTGTCTTGAGATTCAGTCAGGAGACCATCCTGCCTCGCGATTCTGGTGGAGCATCCTGTCTTTATGAACTGATCAATTTTTCTGTCAGAACAAATACTGTTTTGTAACCATGTGTCATGTTCTGTTAATAAAAGACGCCTGCAGGAGGGGATGCAGAGAAAGAAAGCTTGAAGCTGGGTTGGGCTTTTTCTTTCCACTCCTGCAGAAGTTGCTTGAATCTCTTTCCTGTGTAGACTCAATTTCTCTTTTACAAACCTATATTTTCTGAACCTAACAATGGGCTTCTGCAGTAAAGGATAAACCCTTTCTTACACTTTTCTTGTGTCTGATCCTAGCTTAAATGTACGACAGACTGAGGATAACTCGAGCTGACTCAAGACGGTTTAAAGACAAAATTGCAATATAAAGTAAAGTAAATGGATGGAGCTAAAAATTCTGGGTATGCATGGATTTGCCGTAAACTTATTTTAAATTCTCATTCATCCCGCTTTCTTAATATATATACCCTCTGATGCATGAATTATGAATCCCTGAGACAAGATTTTTTTTTAATGTGTTTTTACTCTTCTTAGGGCATGAAAAAAAGAAATATGAACTTTTTTTTCAAAAATCTTATTTTTCCTGGAAGTTACAGAAATGTCCACTACAGTGGACTACATATGCTTCAACACTCAACATAGAACAGTATAAACTTAACTGAAGAATAATTTCATCTGAGTTTGATCATAAATCCATGACCACATATTTCATTGGGGGCTTTGCAAAGCACGTGAACTTGCTTTCATACACTCTAACATTCTATAGCCCCTCTGTTAATCCAAACCAAGAGAACAATTTTCATCAAACAACACCTCTTCTAACTTCTCTCCTAATTCATTTTCCTAACTCCTAGGCTACATGAAAATTGGCATAGCATCCAGGGCACAGTGCTACATGGCACTGCATGCAGATGTATTTGGTCTTCCTTGTGCATGCAGCATTGTGGCATCTGTTTGCATTTTTTGGGTGAGCTCGGGCCAGTGATTTCCTGTGCTGAACCTGATTTCCCTGGGTACTTTGGTCACTGCTCTGCACTTACCCTGATTTGTAATGAGCAGATATGATGTTTTAAAACATAATTAGAAACACAGATTAATCAGCGGAGAGCAAAACTTAGAGAAAAAAATGTGTCCCACTGCCGAGAGATCTCAAGAGGAGCAACTGAGATGGCTCGGGCTTCTGGTTAGGATGCCTCCTTGATACCTTCCACCAGGAGGACACCCAGTGGGAGACCCAGGACAGGCTGGGCCGGGAAACGCCTTGGGATTTCTTTATACAAACAGGGTATAAAAGTCTTTCACTAAAAAGTCTCTGATGGATGTGACATGGTTGAAAGAAAGAACAGCAAGTGAGATCTATGTTAGATCGAGTTACTATTGAAATAATGTCTGGAACAGAAAATGGATAGAAAGATCAGAAACATATTGCTGCTTAACACTCCTCCCCAACTAAGACTTGCATTCATTTCACTCTATATCAGCTCCTTGGCTTTTATATTACACACGTTACACTTTTTTATTACACATTGGGTCTGACTGATGTTGTTTGGTTGAGCATTCATACAACTCTTGCCTCCATCAGTACTTTTTTTAATAGGTTTTGAATCAAATGTTTTGTATTTGCATTATTTAATTTTTACTTCTGTAACACTGCAACCATGTCATTAATGGTTCTTATTTATTCACCACTGTTCAGCTTTTACTGGTCCTTTAATTCTGCTGCTTAGTTCCCAGCAAACAGAATCTCGATCCCCTAACCAGAAAAGTTTGTTAAAAGAATGAAAACCTGCTTGTTACTTCACACAAACCTGGGAAGACCAGGTGGACTACATCAGGTTTGTGAGGATTATTTACAATCATTTACTGAAGTTACGTTTTTTAAAAACCTGTGGTGCAAAAAAAAAAGTAGGAGAAATCTACGATAAGAAGATATGATGCCAAGTGTGTCAGTTCTCTACTATCCTAAAATGGTTCAACTCTAGAGAAAAACAGACAAATGTGTCTGTCATGTCTGGTCCCACACAACCTGAAAAACAAATACATTTTTTTATGTTACTTTGTCAATTTGTGCTACTTATTATGAATTTTGGTTTTGTTTCTGTTTTTCCACCAGATGGCGCCATATATCTCCATATCAGTCTACCTAAACTTGAGGTTGTCATAAAAACAATGATGACAATGATTACAGCCATCCTTTATATTTCCTGCAGTCCACATGGGAGTTGGTGTCTGGCCATGTCTACTACTTCTATGATATTACTAGTTGTCATTTAACTTTCTAACAAAGTTAGATCCTTTATTTGCATCTTTTTGTTCTCTGTTTTATTCACTACACTACATTTTCTAAGTTGTTGATTTTCCTGGGTCAGGACAGTTGTCAGTTGAAAGTGGTTTAAAGCAAACATATTTCAATCATGTAGCTGTCAGATTGTTTGCTCTGCAAACATCTCAACCAAATCCGTATGGGGAAATAAAATATTGGTTTTGGGCGGATCAGGTCAGGAGACCAAAATATTTACTTCAGAAACTTGCAGTTTTCTTATATCTTGTTATCCTGCTGTACATACATTTTTATTGCAGTAAAGCATTGCCGTTTTATTCAGATTACTCTCTATATTTCAATAACACCTAGTTTTATACTCCCATTTAAATTCTCAGTTCTGTTTGCAAGTTTCTGGTCTGGGATCCCATTTGCAAACTAAAAATGCTATAAAGTATGCACAGGTTACATTTGCTTGAGTAATTTTTTGATAAAAAAAATAGTGTTTCAGGAGTAGTTTCACTACTCTTTTACTTTTTTTGCATTGTCTTTGTACTGAATTGTGCTATACAAATAAATTTGCCTTGCCTTGCCTAGTAACTTGTTACATTTATTCAGTTACATTTGCTTGAGTAATTTTTTGATTAAGAAATAGTCTTTCAGGAGTAGTTTCACTACACTCTGTCTATTTTTATTTAAGTAATATCCTCATGAGGTTTTGCTGTAACTTTACAGCAGAAGGAATCATATTTTAAACTAAAATGCACCAGACAAAGGCGAACACTTTACACAGCATTCATTGTTTAAATGTCACCTATATCAGCTGAGACCTCTATGATATGGAGGTCAAGGTAATAACAGTAAAGCGTATACTCTTCGTCATGCGTATTTTATATACTTTCAGAAATAATTTTATACATATGACAGAAACATTATTTTAGGAAGGGTTTTTATGCCTTATTTTTTTATTTAATACTTAAAACCTAAATTGAAATAGTAAAACAGTAACTCAGTACTTAAAAAGCCCTTTTCCCCAATGACTTTTTATCTCTTGAGTGATTTATTAGATTACTACTTCTTATTTCCACATGAATAGAAATATGTTGAAGAAGTGTGACAGTACTATTACTACAGTATATTTTTTAATATATAAGATGTTTTTTATGACTTTTAGTCCCATTTAGTTATTACATTTGTTTAGCATGTGTTGTGGGAAAATTTTTATCTTTCTTCTTTTATATATTAATATTCATATTTACTCACTATAAAAGAATTCACTCAGTCTGTTCCTCTCTCAAGGCCACACATTTCTCTCCAGGCTGGTATTTGTAGAACAGACATTGCTTCTTCCCATAACAATCCAGATTCTTTTTGAAGGTTTACTGTTAACCAAAGTGTGTGTAATTTGTTATGACTCTGACTGCTTAAGTAAGGGGGGGCGAACCCTGCCCAGATCAGAACAGAGCAGAATGCTATGCCATGAAGGCTGTATGATGACTGTTCTCTCTTTGCAAAGATTATTAATAAATGTGCTGACTGAGTGAAATCCATCGATCTCCGTTTATTTAACTAGGATGAATAGTAGAATACTTTTTTCCCTCGACACATGATAATATTGACTAAGATTTTTCTGATTTTGCATTAATTTCAAATGAATATCAACATCAACAATAACCAGTTGGTGATGAGAAATCAACAAAAGAATGTTAAATATGTGTGTAGTCTGAGGGCTACTGGGCAAAGCTTAACATGTCAGAGCCAAACTTGCACCAGTGTCCAAAGGTAGATCATATCTACCATTATCTCTACTAGTTTGTTTTATTTTTTTATTTTAGAATTACAAATTGCAGAGAGAGTTACAATGTCGAGCTGGTCCCCTTAAAATATCATGCGTGTTTCTTCGCCACTTCATACCCATGCAATGTTTTGTCTTTTGTATGTTTCACTTTAATAAACAGACATCCCACTAATCTTTTAATGCAGAAAGATGTTTTTAATGCAATGATAAAGATTCTACTGGGATGAAATATTAAGAGTAATCGTAGACTTTCTAAAGACTTAAAAATAAAAAGGTATCTGTTGTTAAAAGTTCAGGGACCAAACAAAAAGAAACAAAATAATACAACATTGTTTCAGTAAATTGTTAGTACTTTTTTGGTCACTAAAGCCACACGGCATAAACATGAAGGGAAAACAAAGGAATGAGTGACCAACTGTCAAAAGATGCCTTAACTAATCTCTGCTGAAGATTCATTGGTCTTTCCAGACTAATAGAGGAGGATCACACAGACTGAGGGAAGCTCCTTGTCACACCGCTGGGCTTCCAGGCACCCTGAGCTCTTCTCTGCACACAGAAAGAAAAAACATACTATGTATGTATGTAAATCAACTGCTTAGGTGTCATTTGTGTATGCAGATACGGTTGAACTTTGTGTTAATGCTCTACACATCATTTGTACACACCCCAAAGTGATTTTAATGTCTTTATGAGAAACTTTAAACCAAAATTAAATGTTAAAGTAGGGTCTACCGTTAAAAGTTATCTGCAAACAGTTCTCGTCATCGGCAGGTTCTCCACTGCAGAACTCAGCAAATTGATCCATGATAGAATAATCCCAGGACCAATCAGGATCCTACAAGAGAAAAAGAAATCTGTTTAAGTTTAAATTCACTAATAGCATTTTCTTGCTTTTAAACTCTGTAATGATGATTTTTTTACCTCTGAAGTTTTGCTGCCTCCAACCCAAACTTGTCCACCATGAAGTCCGGCTTTTTTCATCTCCTCACAAATCTCGTCAACTTGTGTAGAATCATATACAGCAGCAAGTGAACCTTGACCTTTATACGCACAGTTGTCCTAAAAATAAATTTACAAAAAGAACACTGTGCTGAAAAAGGGGATAGACATCAACAGCAAAAAAGAAAATTAGACTTTATTGGCCACATTCAAACCATTAAAAAGTATCATAATTGCTGCTTAGCTTCCTCTGGCGCTTACAAACCCTGCTCCCTGTTCAGTGACTTGCAAGGATTCTTTTTTAATCAGTTGACTGCTATAAGGATTTATTATTTCTATGTTTTTTTATATCGGTACAAGATGCCCACAATCACTAAAGATAACTTTTACAAGCAAAATAGTTAAAACAGAAATCCATAATCTTGAAGCTCAGCATATCCTGAGCTATCTCTACAGTTATGTTGCTATAGGCTTAGACTGCTGGAGGACATAGGGACCACTTCTCACCATTTTATCTCTACTCTCCCTTTCTGCAGTATTTGTTAGTTCAACCTTAAACTGTACGCGCCATATTTTATCCTCTGACACGGGAACTGGCTTGGGGCTTATATGCTTGGCTGTGTCTTTCCTGGACAAGGCAGCCTGTGGATCTGATCGCTTTTGTATGTCTACTTCTCTCTCGTTAAACCCCAGTCAGCTTCAGCGGAAGACTGCTCAAACTCAGCCTGTTTCTGCAGGAGGTTTCTTCTTGTTAAGAGGCAGTTTTTTTCTCCACTCTCACTTTATGCATACTTGGTGTGAGGGCTAGCTGTAGTTTTCTTTCGATAGAAAACTGTGGAGACTTAGACAAAATTTATTGTCCTTCTGTATAAACAGATGGTATGTAAAACAACATTTCAATGCATACAGCATACAGGAAATGGTAAATGGCATGTACTTATATAGCGCCTTTATTCAAGTTAGGAGACTTGACCAAAGCGCTTTACACTACATTCATTCACCCATTCACACACACACTCACACACTGATGGTGGCAAGCTACATTGTAGCCACAGCTGCCCTGGGGCTCACTGACAGAAGCGGGGCTGCCGTACACTGGCGCCACCGGGCCCTCTGACCACCATCAGTAGACAATGCAGGTGAAGTGTCTTGCCCAAGGACACAACGACAATGAAAGTCGGAGTCGGGGCTTGAACCGTCAACCCTTCGATTACTCCTCCATCCAACGCCACTGTCGCCCCAGTGGAGGTAAATACTGTGTAAAAATATATATATTTGAAACTCCACCTATGATTCCTAAAGGTGACAAGCAGCTCACTAGCTCCAGAAACATACAGAATGCAGATAAAAATGAGCATAAACTATGGAGTCAAAATGTTTGTTAACTTAAAAATCTTAGTTAAATCTAAATTCTTCCCCTGAGCTTGAAAAAACTCATAATTCAGTTTAGTATTTTAATTACACTTTTTCCACTTTTTATTTACTTTATTTACTGCACTTTTAGATTTTATATTTTCAGATTCAAATCCCTTTCTTTCAGGTTCAGTTTCAATTTCCTTTTTCAGTTTCGGGATACTTTTTTACACATTAAAGTCAGTTTTTTCACTTTCAGATTTTGACTCCAATATGACAAGAGTGGGTGGGGAAACGTGATTGACAGCTTGTAGCAGCGCTGGAGAGATGTCCTTTTCCATGTTGCATTTATGGACAGTTGGTGAACAAATTCTCTGCAGCATTCATTTGCCTCTTGGCAAAGAAATGTTAAGTATATTTACACTGAAACTATCACTAATCATTATTCCAGGATGCGTTAATATATATAAAAATAAACAGCCATTGTATAAACCGCAAAAATTTCCATTGCTAATCAGTTATGTTTAATCTTTTTTACGAACTACTTTGTCACAGTCCTAAATAATGCAGGGAAGGTTAAAACCTTTAAAAGATGTTAAAAAGGGAAATAAACATTAATTTATAAGCAGAGCACACTTAGTTGAGAGTTTGGTCATTGGAAATGAATGTGTTAATGTAATTCCCTGGAAAACATGGTAGTTGTAGACGATTTCATCAACAGGTGCAAGTTATGGGTTAGCCACAGCAGGCTATATCCTAACAGGACGGCAGAGGAGGGAAGGTTCCGCCACATAATACATCGCCAGGAGCGTATTACCCTTTCTAACATCTTTTAAAGGTTTTAATTTTCATTGCATTTATTAACGTGACAATGTAATGTGTAAAAAAAGATTAAATTTATCTGAATAGCAGTGCCACTCGAACCACTAGGTCCAGACGCTATCTTTCCGTGAACGGACATAAGAGTTTACTTTGCAATCGTGGGAAAGTTTTGCTGTTTATACAATGGCTGGAAGCTGTCAATCATGTTTCCTCACCTACTCCCGTCAGCTAGGGGCTCAAAATCTGAATATGAAAACAACTGATTTGAAAGTTTAAAAAGAATACTGAAACTTAAAAGGGAATTTTAATCTTAAAAAGAAACAGAAACACATAGATTTGAATCTAAAAATATTAAAATCTAAAACTTCAATCAAGATGCTAGAAGAACAATTGTCTTTAATTTTTTAGATTTGAGGGTTTATATATAGCGAAAGACCAACCTCTTTGATACACAGGTGGTAAAACACTAAAATATGACTATAAATGAATATACAGTTCCTAGGATGTCATTGAAGACCAGCCTATTAAATGCATTACTAAACTAATTTGAAATATTGTATAAAAGGACTGTGAATACAGTTTATAGTGTTTAGGTGCTAAACCATGAACATCAATTGAATTCATTTACCAACAAGAACTAATTGGTTTATGGAAATCATTGCACACAAAGTGTAAAACAAATTTACTATTAATATAAGTTTTTCTTTTAAACTATTTTAGTCTTAAGAAGGAACACTTCCACTTACCCTGGCCTCAACCCAGGTCATATTCTGGGCAACAAACAGGAGACACTGAGTGCTGTGCATTGTCCATCCTTCAGGGCAAGTGAAGCCAAAAGGATTATGGTGGTCTGTGAATAAATACATGTGATAGTTTTATTAGGAGTGCTGATTTATATCATAAGTTTAAGAAATGGCAATTACATAACAAAAAAAAAAAACAAACAAAAAAAAAATAGATGAGAAAACAAAATCCATCCATCCATTCATTCATTTTCCGTCATGCTTTCCCCAAGCGAGTCGCGTGGGGTTTACGGCTGTCTACGGGCGAGAGGCGTTCTGCACCCTGGACAGGTCACCAGTCCACTGGAGGGCAACACAGAGACAAACAGAACAAGCAACCATTCACACACACACTCACACCTAAGGAGGATTTAGAGAAGCCAATTATCTTAACAGTCATGTTTTTGGACTGTGGGAGGAAGCCGGAGTACCCAGAGAAAACCCACGCATGCATAGGGAGAACATGCAAACACCATGCAGCCGGGAACCTTCTTGCTGCAAGGCAGCAGTGCTACCGACTGCTCCACTGAGCAGCCCTCAGAAATTAATATAAATAGGGATGTCATGACTAAAAACTACTGACCAGTTCCATGTAGCCAGTCCAGGCCATAATCTAAAAGAAGCAACAACAAAAAAGATGAGAAAAAATTTTAATAATAAATAGGGATTTAATGATGCATCTTTTTTCCTAATTTAAGATAGAGAAGTTACAACTCTAAGAACTGACTAATATCCACATTGGCCAAGGAAAATAGCAACACAAAAAATACATACTTACAATACTTAGGAAAGGTTTGATCAAGTGTTATTATTCAAACAGAAAACAAAAGTCAAGAAAACAAGGTATGATAACAACTGGCCAATTTATTTTCAATTTACATAAACTTTAGACAGAAGCATTGTGTTTATATATCCAGAGATGTTAGGCGTAGGGCGATTTATGCCTGATATCGAAATCAGTTTTGAACATCTCTAATTATAAACAATGTTTTGCGTCATATTAAAATGTACACTTTTTTCTAGTTTTAGTAATGCTTTTAATGAAGCCTTTCAATGATAAAAGAGAATACTCTTGTTTTTCAGAGGCCTCGCCAGATGAGGAAGAGAAGCAACAAAGACGCAGGCGAGTGTCTATTCTGAACTATTATGGTGTGTGTGGTTTGACAAGTAAGTTGCAATATAATAATGTAGATGGTTCTTTTTTTATAATAAAAGAAAAATAGGATGTTTTAGAACTTGATATTTTTACACATTGCCATCCTGCTAGTGGCCAGGACTTTATGTTCGCAGGATTATTGCATTAAAAAACATAAACCATGCAAATAAATTCATTATAGCCCTGTGAAAGTAAAGAACGTGTTAATTAAAGGCAGCAACTGTCAGTCAGTGTTAAGATGATGTGAGGAGATTGTATAAATCACAGCTTCAACCCGTTTATGAAGTCTTTGTTCCTCCACATAATGACCAAATCGCAGAAAATGTAGCCTTCAGTGGGCATTTTTTCTGTAGGAAAGCTGTCATTGAATCAGTCGCTCTGCGCCATCATCTCTCCTCATGGGATGCTGAGGTTGTACATCGCTGTTACGAGTGTGCGCTTACACCAGGAAACTCTAGTCCTTTTTTACATACGTTAAGTAACGAATAACAAATCTGTTTAAAGTCGTAGGGAAGCGGTCGTTTAAACCGTTGCAGTTCCGAATTCTTCTGAGTGGTGCACAACTTCACACGAGTGAATAAAGTGAATGTGATTGGTCGTTTATCAAGGGGGATGGATCGTTATGGCGGAAGGTTCGCAAGCACGTTTTGTTGTGGCCGGTTTGTCGGAAGCATCTTGCTAACCAGTTAGCAACTTAGTGCTAGTATGTTCCCAATGGGAAATTCCATTGGGACCAAGTAGCTCTAAATTGGTGACTTAGAAACGACACTGTCAAGGAACGCTATGGACAGCGGAAACATGCAAGAGAAGGAGAGTTTAGTGTCGGAGGTCGTGGATGAGTCTCCTCCATCATACATTTTTTTATTTAGAGGAGGAAAGCGGGGATGAAGATGTTGTGGAAGAGGACGCCAGGGTGGCAGAAGCTTGGTTTGGTGTAGAAGGCTTACAGCCGTACATGTTTGAGCCCTTGCCTCGCAACGCTGCCAGTTCTGTTAGCTCTACGCCTGCTGAAGACACAGACGTCCATCCCCGTGAACACTGGGACAGAACTCAATGGGAAAAGAAATGATTCTTATTTCTTATTTCAACCGTTGCATATATTAGCTGCGACATATAAATCAAGATGTTATGACTGAAAAATTTTGATTGACAGATGACCGTTGATCGAATTAAGGTGTTCGGGCTGACATATAATTAACTGGCCTGCATAAGATAACAACAAAAAAAGGGCGGATTTTTTTTTTTTTTTAAATAGAAAGAATTTCTATTTTTTAAATAGAAATTTTCTAACTTTTAGGACAATATGGTCTGATGAAGAGTACATTTATATAAATTTTAAAGCATAGTAATCAATTTTACAAAATAATTCATTACAGTGCTAGCTACAGGAAAAGTAGCGTAGCTACTGTAACACGTTTGTTAATGGCCTACATACAGATTTACCTGCTGGTGTTGGTGGTGGTGTACTCACAAGAGAGTCGTCAGTAGCTGGAAGGTCTGAAGACACAGGGTAAAAATTAGTTGTTCAAAGAAGACCCTTCAATTAAAATAAGCTTAAATTAAATTAATATCCATTTTGCAATCAGGGAAAAAGCGGCGGTCTCCAAATACATTTGTATTGATTTGTGTGCAACTGGAGGTTATTCAACTCTTAATTAGCCTGACTTTAAGTTAGCCATTTGCAGTGCATACATTTAGTTAACTTTATTTGTCAGTTTGTTATATTTTGGTTAAAATGCAATGGATTCATTTTTTTTCTTTGAGTTGCCAGTTTCCTTTGAATCTGCTGCTGGAGGGCTGCAATGAGCTCAAGCTTTCTTTTAAATTGGTCATTACAAGCTAATCAGAGGGTCTCATGTCTTGTTTGATAGGTCAGTTTGTGCTTGAACTCTCTATGTTAGTACCTGAAATTAAGTCTGTTTTGTTGAACTCTGTTTTTTGGGGTCAATTTCTCGTTTTCTGAACTTTTTTTGAAGTAAATCAAGACCTTTTTTGAAAATTTTCAGTGGTTTTCTGGCTGGTTTGTGCAAAAACCTCACACTACAACTGGGTAATTTATTATGTCTAAACAATATAAGAAGAATTCTTTTGTTTGTTTGTTTTTTAACAAATGATTGTCTTGTTTATTAAACAAAGTAATGGGGCTCCTATTATTAGCGTGTATGAAATAGTACCTCTTTAAAATGTTCAATTTGGTGTATTTTTGTAGCACATTTAAGAACCTAAGCATCACTAGGAGTGAAAACATGTTTATGAGCCATAAGGTTGTGTGTGAGGACGGTGTTCCCTAAGGCTTACTCAGAAACCAAAAACAATCCACTATGGGTGTGCCATGGGTGTAACCAGAAAGCTAAGAATGCAAACACATTGCAGGAGAAAGAGTTTGTTGTAAAAATTGGAAAGTAAAATCTGAAGGTTGTGCAGTATTGTAATTCTTTAGGATTTAAGTTATGTTTTCATAATTTCTCTGATCTTGTTTTTTTCCTTAAAGCTTAAAAAAATCGTGTCATATTCAGATACTTTCTCTGTTTCCACCACTGTGATAGAGCTTTTGCCATATAGGTTTGTTCTTTAATAGAGTCATCAACCAGAAATCTGATTTTTTCCCTTTTATAACGTGTGTGTTGGTGATGAGCTGATCAAATTTGCCAGAAAACCTGGAGTGTGGCTGTTTTTTTGTCCGGGCTCCTTGTTCAAACCAGAAGAAGAGCCCACAAGAAGGAACTCTCCACAGAGAATTTGGTCCCCCCCCCCTGATTAATGTCAGCAGAGTACTCACATTATCCTGCCTTGCTATCATCACTCCTGTCTTTATTCCATTGAAAGGTGCTAATCCAGTAATCAAACACTCAACTGAGGGAAGTTTGTGAAAGTGTTGCTCCTTGTTTAAATTGTTAATCATCCAAATAACCTCCAACTAATTGTTATATTCTCCTAAAAACTATTAAACATGAATAGAAAATTTTAGAACGACTGTATAATATCATAATTTCTTGAAGGTTTAGTTTTTCTTATTTTTTTCTTGTATTCTGTTTTCCCTGCATTTATGTTTGGCTTATTGATAAATAAAAGTCATCATTGATGATTTCCCCCTGTGTAAATTATTCACCATTCCATGCCGCAGACTGCTCCACTGAGCAGCCTTCGGAAATTAATATAAATAGGGATGTCATGACAAAAAAACTACTGACCAGATCCATGTAGCCAGCCCAGGCCATAATCTAAAAGAAACAAAAACAAAAAAAGATGAGAATTTTTTTTTTAATACAAATAGGGATGTAATGACAAATTTTTTTTCACAATTTAAGATCGAGAAGTTGCAAGTGGCCAATTTATTATCATTTAACATAAAATCTAGACAGAAGCATTGTGTTTATATATCGAGAGATTTTAGGCATAGGCCGTTTTATGCCTGATATCGAAATCAGTTTTGAACATCTCTAATTATAAACAATGTTTTCCATCATATTAAAACGTACACTTTTTTCTAGTTTTAGTAATGCTTTGAAAGAAACATTTCAATGATAAAAGAGAACACTCTTGTTTTTCACAGGCCTCGCCAGATGAGGAAGAGAAGCAACAAAGACAAAGGCGAGTGTCTATTCTGAACTATTATGGTGTGTGTGGTTTGACAAGTGAGTTGCAATATAATAATGTAGATGGTTCTTTTTTTATATTAAAATAAAAATAGGGTGTTTTACAACTTGATATTTTTACACATTGACATTCTGCTAGAGGCCAGGACTTTAGGTTCCCAGGATTTTTGCATGAAAAAACATAAACCATGCAAATAAATTCATTATAGTGCTGTGAAAGTAAAGAACGTGTTAATTAAAGGCAGCAACTGTCAGTCAGTGTTAAGATGATGTGAGGAGATTGTATAAATCACAGCTTCAATCCAACATTTATGAAGTATTTATTCCTGCACATAATGACCAAATCGCAGAAAATGTAGCCTTCAGTGGGCATTTTATTTGTAGAAGAGCTGTCATGGAATCAGTCGCTCTGCCCCATCATCTCTCCTCATGGGATGCTGAGGTTGTACATCACTATTGCGAGTGTGCGCTTACACCAGCAAACTGTGTCCCTTTTTTATATATGTTAAGCAGCGAATAACAAATCTGTTTAAAGTCGTAGGGAAGTGGCTGTTCCAAACGTTGCATTACTGAATTCTCCTGAGTGGTGCACGACTTTACACAAGTGAATAAAGTGAATGTGATTGGTCGTTTATCAAGGGCGAGGGATCGTTATGGCGGAAGGTTCGCAAGCACGTTTGGTTGTGGCCGGTTTGTCGGAAGCATCTTGCTTACCAGTTAGCAACTTAGTGCTAGTAGGGTCCCAATGGGAAATTCCATTGGGACCAAGTAGCTCTAAATTGGTGACTTAGAAACTTAGAAACACTGTCAAGGAACGCTGTGGACAGCGGAAACATGCAAGAGGAGGAGAGTTTAGTGTCAGAGGTCGTGGATGAGTCTCCTCCATCATACATTTTTTTATTTAGAGGAGGAAAGCGGGGACGAAGATGTTGTGGAAGAGGACGCCAGGGCGGCAGAAGCTTGGTTTGGTGTAGAAGGCTTACAGCCGTACATGTTTGAGCCCTTGCCTCGCAACACTGCCAGTTCTGTTAGCTCTACGCCTGCTGAAGACACAGACGTCCATCCCCGTGAACACTGGGACAGAACTCAATGGGAAAAGAAATGATTCTTATTTCTTATTTCAACCGTTGCATATATTAGCTGCGACATATAAATCAAGATGTTATGACTGAAAAATTTTGATTGACAGATGACCGTTGATCGAATTAAGGTGTTCGGGCTGACATATAATTAACTGGCCTGCATAAAATAACAAGAAAAAAAGGATTTTTTTTAAATAGAAAGAATTTCTATTCTTTAAATAGAATTTTTTTTTACTTTTTGGACAATATGGTCTGATGAAGAGTACATTTATATGAATGTTTAAGCCAGAATGATTAGACATTTAAAAATGAATTCTTTACAACTTTAAAGCACAGTAATCAATTTTACAAAATAATTAATTACAGTGCTAGCTACAGGAAAAGTAGCGTAGTTACTGTAACACGTTAGTTAATGGCCTACATACAGATTTACCTGCTGGTGTTGGTGGTGGTGTATTCACAAGAGAGTCGTCAGTAGCTGGAAGGTCTGGAGACACAGGGTGAAGAGTAGTTGTTAAGAGAACATCCTTCAATTAAAAATAAGCTTAAATTAAACGAATATCCATTTTAATGCAATTTCATATTACAATCACTGCAATCAGTGAAAAAAGCGGTGGTCTCCAAATACATTTGTGTTGATTTGTGTGTAACTGGAGGTTATTCAACTCTGAATTAGCCTGACTTTAAGTTAGCTATGTGCAGTGCAGACATTTAGTTAACCCTATTTTTCAGTTTGTTATATTTTGGTTAAAATGCAATGGATTCATTGGAATGGAAATGTGTCTATCATTTGTTTAGATATTCTGTGTTTCAGATGGTTTTGTTAATTTGTTAAATGTACTTAGTGTCTGTTTAATTAAGTTTGTCAGTTAGTTATTTCCCTTGTGTGTCAACAGTGGTCTCATCAGCCACTATTTAAGTTTCCCTCATGTCTTGTTTGATGGGTCAGTTTGTGCTTGAGTTCTCTATGGTAGTACCTGAAAGGAAGTCTGTTTTGTTGACCTATGTTTTTGGGCCCACTTTATCATTTTTTGATCACTTTTTTTTTAAGTAAATCAAGACCTTATTTGAAAATTTTCTGTGGTTTTCTGGCTGGTTTGTGCAAATACCTCACACTACTGTAAGTAATTTATTATGTCCTTGGTCTAAACAATATAAGAAGAATTATTTCTTTTATGTAGCACATTTAAGAACGTAAGCCTCACTAGGAGTGAATACATTTTTATGAGCAATAAGGTTGTGTGTGAGGAGGGTGTTCCCTAAGGCTTACTCAGAAACCAAAAACAATCCACTATGGGTGGGCCATGGGTGTAACCAGAAAACTAAGAATGCAAACAGGTTAAATATGGAAAGAGTTTGTTGTGAAATTTGAAAGTAAAATCTGAAGTAAAATCTGATCTAATTCTTTCCTTAAAGTTTCAAAAAGTCGTGTCATATTCTAATACTTTCTCTGTTTCCACCACTGTGATAGAGCTTTTGCCATATAGGTTTGTTCTTTAATAGAGTCATCAACCAGAAATCTGACTTTTTCCCTTTTATAACGTGTGTGTTGGTGTTGAGCTGATCAAATTTGCCAGAGAACCTGGAGTGCGCCTGTTTTTTTGTCCGGGCTCCTTGTTCAAACCAGAAGAAGAGCCCAGAAGAAGGAACTCTCCACAGAAAATGTGGTCCTCCCCCTTGATTAATGTCAGCAGAGAACTCACATTATCCTGCCTTGCTATCATCACTCCTGTCTTTATTCCATTGAAAGGTGCAAATCCACTAAACAACCACTAAACTGAGGGCAGGCTGTAAAAGTGTTGCGCCTTGTTTAAATTTGTACCTTTTGTGTAAAAGACCTGAAACAATGTCGAACAAACCATGACTAGCTGCTACCATTGATAGAAAACTGAACTTCTTTGTCTTTTTGATTTGATTGAATTATCTCTGTAGAAGGTCCTATAAAGAAGGCTCTATATAAATAAACTGAACTGAATGAAGGCTACATCCATATGAACATGAACACACACAAGTCAATCATCCAAATAACCTCAGACTAATTGCTATATTCTCCTAAAAACTAATAAAAGTGAATGGACAATTTTAGAACAACTGTATAATATCATGATTTCTTGAAGGTTTAGTTTTCTTACTTATTTCTTGTATTCTGTTTTCCCTGCATTTATGTTTGGCTTCTCGATCAATGATAGTCATCATTGATGAAAAGATTTAAAGACCAATTTGTAGTCAGATTTAGTTCCCCCTGTGTAAATTATTCACCATTCATCTTGGTCCCCTCCACAGCTGTTTCGCTGATTCACAGATTAACTCACCAGTGTCCAAAGTAATTTTCCAGCTTTTCTTCAGCATAAAAAATCACTGGCAACACTGTGTATTAAAAACTTCTCCTAATATACCTGTGATCTGTGGAAGGTCTATGTGGCTTATATTTTATTCATTAACTTTGACAAGGTCTTTCGTAAAGGGCTGGTTATACTCCTGTGGCAGTGGGTCACAGTGAGCCTGTCGCAGATATTTTAGATTTATGCCTAATATAAAGTGTGGTCTGTGTTTTAGATGTTACCAGGAGTTAAACTATAAAGACATCTAAAAAAAAAATAAGTAAATAAAAGCTTATTACAGAATACCCTGTTGCTGTAAATACTCACAGAATGCATGGGCCAAAGTCAAAAGGGTCAATCCCAACCAAGAAAGAGTCTTCATGGTGGAGTTGAGATTAGATGAAACCTGTGATGATAAATTTGAAGAGAACTAAACAGGGACAGATGTGTGCAACCCTACTAGCAAACAAAACCACAAAAATCTAAATAGAATTGCCAAGTATGTGGTAAAGAATTACCTTATCTTTCTCTGGGGTGAGATAAATCCTAGAGCCTCAGTCTTCCTTTGCAAGATGTTGAGTTGTGAGTGAGAACGAACACTCTTCTCTGTTAAATACCTCAATTCAAGGATACTGAAACGGATCAGACATCCTCATTCAGTTTCAAAAATGACAGCAAGGTAAATAGATTCACTTAGCAATATATTTATAAGAAGGCCTTTTAAGAAACACAGCTTAGTTCCCAGGAATCAAACCAGTCATGCTACTAAAGACAACACCTTGGTCAAATATTAAATTGGATGCTTATACTTCTAATATATTTACCCAGCACTCTATCAATAGAATCACAAATGAGCTAGAACTAAAAACATCTTTGGTGAAGAGTTTTAAAACAAAAAAACATTTAAAATAATCAGGATGTTTAAGTAATACCTAATGATTGTCAGTCAAAGTGAATCCAATAACACTAAAATGTTAGATGATACCAAAATCTTTATGTAGTATGTGAATTCGATCCTAATTAAAATAAAGTAAGCATGCTTACAGTAATTTGGCGGTAGAAGTTTACACTCATAACTTATTATATGTCGGCTAAATATACATTTTTTTATTAAATGTAAAAATAAGCTATTTTCTAGTTTTAAAAAATGCAGGGCTCCAGAAGCCATGATCGAGGTGATGTAATCGCTTTTCCATGGAGCTGTTAAAAGACAAGCAGTGGAATTCTGCAGAAACTGCAGACGTAGGAGTAAAGACTGTCCAGATAAAGAGGATTACAGTAATATAACCATGAAAAAATAAAGGCATGGATTAATGTGTCCGGCTGTTGCTTTAAAAAAAAAAATTTAGATTTTTTTTTTCTAAAATGTTACCTTGGTTGAATTCTCACTCAAATCTGGCCTGGGTTTTAAGTTATCACAACTTTAAGCCATTTTATATATGTACATTTTGGAGGTAGATCCCAAAGTTAACTTTGCGATTTTATACAATTTTCTTGTTGTCAAGTGATTTGATTTTTGCTGTGCTATTCCCACACTTGAAGGGTTGTATTAAGCTGAACATTAAACTGGATTCCACTCAATGACCAAACTGTTGTTTCATTTTTTCCTTTTTTATTCTTCTTCTTGTGTTTTTTACAGGTTTACAGAATCATTTAATAAAGCAGGTGAAAAACCTTTGAAAGAAATGAAACCAGACAAAGCATTTACCATCTAGCAAATTGTAATAGTTCTGAGAAATGCAACATTTAATATATTTATGAAAATAGACTATGTTTTTAACTTTAAATTAAGACCATTTAGTTTTTAATTATCATAAAAAATGCATCAAAAAACGTATTCAAGCATTTTAACGGAAGTGATTTATGCAGGTTATTTAACTCCATAGATTACATCAATTTTTAAATAGCAATAATAAATAACCAGTGAGTGATTTTTAGTTTGTTTTAAATATGTATAACGTAGACTATGAAATTTCATTTTAACTGTTAGAAGTCTATTTTAATCACACACAGAAGAAATATGCAAAAATTACCCCGTGCAACAGTTTCACAAACACAATTTGGATTGTTCAACCGCAACGTTAAATCACTGAAAAAGGTTACACCAGCATTTCTCCAGCCAAATAAAGCAAGCAAGCAAGACTTACAAGGCAAAACTTTCATGACGCACCGTGTGAGTATTTATAAGCTTAACAGTACGAACAAACATTTCCCGCACGTCTCAACGCCTCATCAGCGCGGCGCATACATTCTTTTCACAACAGAATTAAATGCAAGCTTACCGGCTGTCTGTTCAGTCCTTTGCTTCCTTAATACAAATTTTGCACAGCTTCTTCCACTGCCCGAGTAAACAGGGGCTTTTTATTTTCATGCTGCGATCCTCTGCTTGAACTAGGAAGTTTGTCTCACCTTTTGATTGACTGATTGATTGCACGCAGGTAAACTGCACGCTCACGCTTAAACAGCTGATGTAAACAAAAAGGGGGCGTTCGCCGCAACACCTCCCACTCAAGCTTTCTGTACTTGGACAGAAAGGTTGCAAACTATAAAGGCGAACAGCTTAAACGCTAGGGTTACTGCTCTTCTACAGGGAGTAGAACTACAAGTCGTCTAACGTCTCTGCGCAGTATCACACCATTTGGTCTCTCTTTCCGGTCACCAGAAGATGAGGAGTGGGCCGCTGGTTGTAGAGGTAGGACTGAAACATGGTTGCCTGGGGTGACAAGCACTTCAGCATCTCTGACGATGCCCTTTGGGTCAGGAGCTACAGTGACGACTCGGCCAAGTCTAAACTGCCCTCGCAAGGCATTTTGATCACAGAGCCAAACAATATCACCGATAGATACATTTCTCTCTGTGGTGTGCCACTTGGACCTAATGAACAGGTTTGGGCCCGCGAGCTGGCACCATGCCTTCCAGAACTTGTTGACCTGGGTTTGGATCTCCCGGAGCCGCTTGTAGGGGTAGTTCTCGAAGTCAAAGGACTTGACATCACCTCCCTGGGATGCTCGGCCAAGGAGGAGTGAGTTTGGCGTTACGTACTGAACGCAGTCCTCCCGACTTTGCACTCTTGCGTCAATGGGCCGCTCATTGGCCAGGTTGGCTGCCATCTGGAGGGCTGTGAGGAACTCGCTAAAAGTGAGGTTTGTTGAGTTACTTAAACTTTGAAGAGCTTTCTTGGCAACCTTTACAGCAGCTTCTGCAGCGCCGTTCCGATGCGGAGAATCGGCAGGGAGTACTTTCCAGGTCCAGCCTGTCCCGTTCTTTGCCGCATATTCTTCCAGGCTTGATGTATCTTGGCTACTCAGGAAGCTGTAGAGGTCCTCCAACAAAGACTTTGCACCCACAAAGTTTGTTCCTGGGTCTGACCAGACCTTGGTGGGATGACCTCTGATGGCAGTAAACCTTTGGTAGGCCATAAGGAAGCTCTCTGTGGACATGCTGTTGACAAGGTCAATGTGCAGGGCTCGGCTTGCCATGCAGCAGAAGACTACCCCCCAGACCTTCATGGAGACTCTTCTTTTGACCTCATCTCTTACCAGGTATGGTCCAAACAGGTCAACGGACATAAACTGGAACGGTGCAGCAGGTCTTGATCTTTCCATTGGCAGGTCACCCATCACTTGTTGGCAGACTTGGGCCCTGGCCTTTCTGCAGTGGATACACTGGTTGACAACTTGCTGAGCCAGCCTTCTGCCTTGTACGATCCAAGCCTTCTGTCGCATTCTGAGTAAAGTCCCAGCAACCCCTTCATGGCCTTCCTGGTGACTTTGGCGTGCCAGTAGGGTTCCCAGCCAGGTGTTGAAGGGAATCAGTGGAACGGCTCGACCATCTCCCTTGAAGTGCTGGATCCTGCCACCACACAGCAACAGCCCACTGGTCTCGTCCCTGTATGCGACGAGCCGATCTGTTGTAGTGCTGGGGAAATTAGCTCCTTCTTGTGCTGCAAGGCAGAGGTCTCGGAAGGCATCCTCTCTCTCGGCCACGGTGACTGTACCAGTCAAGGGGACTGCCTCCCACTTTGGTTTTCCCCGGACTCTGTCATGGAGAAATTTCTTTGCTGCCCTCCAGACCAGTGCAATAGACTTAACCAGTCTGGTTAGGCTGCTGAATCGCTGGAGTTTTACCAGGTTTGTCACTGCAGCTCCGGCAGGAGGCCTGTGGAGATTGACAGAGCATGAGATTGGCTCCAGCTTAGGTTCTTTCTTTGCTCCAGCTCGGGTGAGGGCAGCGATAAATGCCTTCTTCTGGATGTGCATCAGGTTCTCCCTGGCTTCCACAGCAACGTCTTTTGCAGACTTGATTGGCCACTCACTCTCAGGACGACTTAAAAACTTGGGACCCAGCTGCCATTCTGTGCCTTTGTCCAACTCCTTTGGACTTGCCCCTCTTGAGATAATATCTGCGACATTGAGAGACCCGGAGATCCACCACCAGTCTTGGATGTTTGAACTGCCTTGGATTTCTCCAATTCTATTGGCAAAAAAAGTTTGGTAGCCATAGCTCTCACGTTGGATTGCACCCAGGACTGTCTGGCTGTCAACCAGGTGGTACCACTTTTCCACACAGATGTTGCAGTGCTTCTGAAAGTGCTTCTTCAGACGGGTGGCATAGACGGCACCACAGACCTCAGCCTTGATAGCGTCACCCTTGTGGTCTAATGGTGTCAATCTGGCTTTGGCTTCAACCAGTCGTACGGTCACTTTGTGTGGTGTTTCCCACCGTAGGTAAAGTACAGCACCGTAAGAGCGCTCGCTACCATCAGAGAAGGTGATACCACAGGCCTTGGCATGAGGGTCAGGTGGTGTCAAGGCTCGAGTGAATTTCAGCTGGCTGAGCTCAGCATAGTCTTCAAAGAGGCGAATAGCGTCATCCCGGAGGCCCTCGGACAAAGGTGCATCCCATGTATCCTCTGATGGACTGTATTTGACCTTTGCTTCCTGGAATGCTCTTCTCACCAGGATGGCTCCCTTTTGCTTGACTGGTGTTGCAAGGCCGAGGGGATCGTACAGTCCAGAGACTTGACTGAGGAGCTCTCGCCGGGTGAGTGGATTTGGTGCCTGGTCCCTGACTTCCTCTTTTGACAGGTTTACTCCAAGCCTCATTTTTTTCTTCTTTTTGGAGAAATTCACAGCCACCATCAAGTGAAGCTTGTCGCTTTCTGGATCATAACCAAGACCCAGTGCTTTGTTGTTCTCCTTCGAGAGTTGGTTTGGGAGGATCATCACTGAGGGTTCTTTATCCTCAGGGTCACCAGATTCCAACCTCCCACTTTGGCCTGAATAGACCCATGGCTTAAGGTGGAATCCACCAGCTTCCAGGATGTGCTCAATATTAGTTGTCATTTGCTTGAGCTGGTGCAGATCATTATGTGAGGTCAAGATGTCGTCAACATATGCATCCTGCTCCAGCACTCGACGCTCTTCTGTAAGATGGTGGAACATGGGCAGACAGGCTGTCTCCCTCATGGCGACTTGTGCGATACAGCCAGCTGGCTTATCGCCAATGTTAACCCTGGTGATGGCATATTCCTGGATGTCCCCTTCCATAGAGTCTCTCCAAAGAAAGCGATGGAGGTGTACTTCCTGGTCCTCAAGCCATACAGAGTTGTACATTTTTTTAATGTCCCCAA